AGCCTCAGGCAGGTCAAATGGTGTACGGTTAGTCTCAGCCAGAACCGAGATGAAGAACAGTACGAATACTGGTAGTAGTGGGATCACGAATCACACGCTTTGTTGTGACTCGATGATGCTTGTGTAGTGGAATGTTCCTGTTAGGAAGATCACTGTCAGTACAGCAGAGCTTAGGACTAGCTCGTAACTAATCATCTGAGCAGTACTTCGGAGTGATCCTAGGAAGGCGTATTTAGAGTTGGCAGATCATCCAGCCAGTAGAACTCCGTAGATACCAATAGATGAGGCAGCTAGTGAGTATAGTAGACCTAGACTGAAGTCAGTCAGTGCAAGTCCGCTACCGAATGGGATAACGGCTCACCCAAGTAGGCTAAAGACGAGGCTGATCACAGGTGCTAGGTAGAATACTCCACGTGTAGCAGCAGCTGGAACAACGGTCTCCTTAACGACTAGCTTAAGTGCATCCGCGAACGGTTGTAGTGTACCGTATCAACCTACGATGTTGGGTCCGACTCGACGTTGCATGCTGGCTAGTACCTTACGCTCGATGATTGTCATAAAGGCAACCGATAGGAGGATAGGAACTAGGACGATGAGAACCTCGAGGAGACTGTATAGAACCGATAGCATATCTGAGGTTAGTGAACGATCAGAGAACTGATAGGTAAGGAGGTTAGCCGTAGGAGTACAGCTCGAATAGGGGATTCAAAGGGGGCTACAAAGTAGCGGTTACAGGCCTAGACTTGAGCTGATAGTCACTCGAGGTACTTCTCAAGTGATACCGCCTCAACTACGATCGGCATAAATCCGTGGTATACTCCACAGATCTCGCTACACTGTCCGTAGTACACACCCTCACGTTGGATAAGGGCAGTTGTCTGGTTTAGACGTCCAGGAATTCCGTCAAGTTTCAGTCCAAGTGAAGGAACAGCAAAGTCGTGGATTACATCTTGTCCTGTAACGATGAACCGGATGTGAGTGTCAACTGGCACTACAACTCGGTTGTCAACGTCAAGTAGTCGGAGCTGTCCTAGCTCTAGGTCTGACTCAGGGATCATGTATGAGTCGAACTCAACTGACTCTCCGTCAGCGCTTACGAAGTCACTGTACTCGTATGATCAGTATCACTGGTGTCCAGCGACTTTAACAGTCATTGTAGGTGATACAATCTCGTCCATAAGGTACAGTAGCTTGAAGCTAGGGAACGCGATGGCGATCAGGATCAGAGCTGGAGTGATTGTTCAGATCAGCTCGATCAGAGTACCGTGGTTGTGGTACTTGTGTACGATACCAGTTCGGCTAGCGCTGAACTTAACTAGGATCACACCTAGCATTCAGAACACTAGGAAGCTGATCACAACTAGGTAGAAGAAGATAGTGTCGTGGAGCTCCACGATACCCTCGAAGTTAGGAGTACTTCCGTCCTGGAACCCAATTTGTCATGGGTAGGCGGAGTCACAGCTCACTGAGCTGAGGAATGGGAATAGGTTTAGCATGGCTAATAGTTACTGGGATCAACAGCCTCTGACGTTACCTGCGTAAGTATGTCTACGCAGTACGGTTAGGTAGGTCGTAGTCAAGTTTAGTGCAAGGAGCTAAGCTACTGCCTATCACTCGATACGAAGGGCATGCCGTAGCTCAGACGGTATGCTACCTAAGAGGCAACTCTCATGGGTACATGGCACTAGGGCCTGTGCGGCGCGTGCAATACGGTGCCACACGTAGCTTGTCATACCCTAATGGATGGGGGGATTCGTAATGTAAATCTTGCCCCTAGGGAGTGACACTTGGGCAGGCATGAATCGAACATGCCGTAGATAAACTAAGCCATTTACAGTGGCTCTCCTTGCCACTAGGATAACTGCCCAGATTCACCATTTAGGATGTAATATGCCTAAGGAGGGAGTCGAACCCATCAGTCCCAAGAGCTTCAATCGAGTGCATTACCGTTATGCTACCTAGGCTCACACTACATTATTGGTGTTGGAGACAGCTGGAATCGAACCAGCGTCACAGTGATGCAAACACAGTGTAATGCCATTATACTATGTCCCCGTAGTTGCCATGGTGAGTAGCTGCATGTTTATCTGATCCTTATAGTGTTAAGGTTGTGCTGGTCTCAGCTATCTTATAGCGTTAGCTGAATAGGTACACAAGGGGACAGGAACGGTATCCCACAGCTGTAAGGGGATTGCATAGAAGGCGATTTATTAGCCTTCGATAGTTGTTCGTCGAATTGTAGATCGGTGGTCAGTGAATTTCAGAGCACCTGAACCTACCTCGAATACGAACCCTACGGTTAGCAGGATGAAGAAGATTGTAGCTACTCAGAACCCGTAAGTTGACACCTGGTACAGTGTTACAGCTACAGGGAATAGCACAGCGATCTCAAGGTCAAAGATCAGGAATAGGATACCAACTAGGTAGTAAGCAACTGCAAATGGAGCACGTACCTGGCCGTGGAGCGGGTTGAACCCACACTCGTAGGCCGATACTTTCTCAGCGTCAGGACGGTGAGCAGCTAGCAGAAGGTTAACTCCCAGAAGGATTCCCACTAGGACTGGCACAAAGCCAAAGAGAACGATCATAGTCATTAGTAACCAGCTAGTGTTACGCCCATGAGCTCGGCTGTGTTTAGGATCAGTGATGGGTCAAGCCCGAATAGTAGGATCAGAGCTGTTAGTGCAGCAATGATGTAACTGTGTGTGCTAGTTACAACTGCACCGAACTCGCTGTCACCTGGAGTGTAGCTAGCAGGCTGGTCGAAGTATAGAACTCGTACGACACGTAGGTAGTATACAGCTGAGACAACACTAGCAAGGATAGCTACAATGGCTACGAAGTTGTGTCCACTGTGGATAGCGCTAGTTAGCACTAGGTACTTACCGAAGAATCCTACTAGTGGTGGAATACCAGCCATAGAGAATAGACATACGATTAGTGCCAGAGCAAGAGCAGGGTTTCGGTGGAATTGACCACCTAGCTCGCTGATTCGCTCGATGTCAGCCTTACCTGTTCAAGTTGCAGGAGATGCACTCTTGCTGTACAGCAGGTATCCGAACGCAAGCAGGATACAGAATGAGTTTAGGCTCGTTAGGCTGTACTGAACTAGGTAGAATAGGAACGCAGTAATTGACTCGCTACCGCTAATGGCTAGCGCTAGGAGCATGAATCCTACGTGTGAGATAGTACTGTACGCGAATAGTCGTTTGATTCGCGTCTGAGCTAGTCCAACAACTGTACCGTATAGCAGTGACAGTGTTGATGATACTAGGATCAGAGCTTGTCATACGTTCAGCGTAGTCTCTCCTACTGTTAGTACTACACCCTCAGTCACGCTGTGTAGTGATAGCATTAGCACGAAGATCGAGATCTTAGGCATCACAGCAAGTCATGAGGTTACAATTGTAGGTACTCCGTCGTAGACGTCAGGAGCTCAGTTGTGGAACGGAGCAGCTGATACCTTGAACAGGAATCCAATTGTTAGTGTCACAAGACCTAGGATAACTCCGAAGGCAGCGTCTGTTCCTTGAGCAACAGATAGTAGCTGAGCGATAGCGTCCAGGTTTGTAAGACCAGAGTAGGCGTACACTAGGCTAGACCCGAGTAGGATCAGTGCAGATGAAAGTGCTCCCAGTAGGAAGTACTTCAGTCCAGCAGCTGTACCTGACTCGCTGTGTCGGTAGATCGTAGCTAGAACGTAAGCAGCAAAGCTTTGTAGCTCGATAGCTAGGAACAGTGACACAAGGTCAGCACTTGAGATCAGGAATGAAGCACCGATCGTAGTGAATAGGATGATGATGCAGTACTCAGGCACTGCAGGGTACAGTGTTGAGCCAGACGGCAGAGCGTAGGCTGCTGAGTCAGCATTGATTTGAGCGTTGCTAGGAGTCAGGACCGAACTTGGCAGTGCGAAGTACGAGCTTGGAGCTCCAACAAGGCGTGACGCTCATGTGAGAAGAATCAGCCCACCAACGACGTAAAGGAATACCTCCATCGTTAGAGAAACTGTGCTAACTTGGAACAGTCCACTGTAAACTCCAACCCCTGAGCCTAGCACGGCAGTGTAGTTAGCACTGAGCGATAGAGCAGCAGCAAGGAAGAGTGTTAGAGAGGCCACCCGGGTCAGCTGCACGGATGGAATTGTTGATGAATAAAGCGGTACCGCCACAAGCAGAGTTAGAAGTGCAATAAGAAGCATTACGTGACCATCAAGTTGGCAGTGTACAGACACATAGCTGCTGATATAGCGCTATGCGAGTGAGAATAGGTTAGGCAGCACTAGGTCTAGAGCCTAATCCAGAGCCCACGATTTACACGTTACTTATAGAAGTCCAAATTCATAAGTAAGGACGATGCTGACTCAAGTTGAGTAGTTACTCACTACTTTACTTATAGGAGTGAGTACTTTACTTATAGGAGTCATTGCTTAACTGCTCTATAGTAGAGCCACCTAGGTGATCACCTCGAACTAGGCTAGGCGTTCTCGGCTTACACTGGACAAGATAGGAATCGAACCTACAGTACATCTGATGCACACTGGTTAGAAGTCAGCTTACCCTGCCAATAGGCGGCTCGTCCATAGTCGGATGATAGTTAGTTGCTTTGTAGTTGGGACGGACGAGATAGGATTCGAACCTACAGTGCACGTGAAGTACACACTGGATAGCAACCAGCTTACCTTTGCCAACAGGAGACTCGTCCCATACTCGCACAGCTCCGAATAGGGCATGTAGCCCTAAACTGATCTAGGTGTTGGGGGTATCGAACCCTCGACATTTGAGTTAAAAGCTCAACGCTCTACCACTGAGCTAAACACCCGTAAGGTCTGTGATAGACATACCACTAGGCGACTAGTTAAGCAGCGATGTGTCCGGTATGAACACAACAGTAGGCAACTGGATTGGCTTGAATCGAACAAGCATCATGGACCTCCAAAAAATCCCGTCATGCCATTAGACCACAATCCAAAGAGCTATACACTAGATAGCCACGAGACCTACCAGAACCTGGGATCGCACCAAGGATTGCTACTTACAAGGTAGCCGTGTTCCTACTACACTATTCTGGCGTAAGTCTGTGACTCAGCTATCCTGAGTCATTGACAATGTAGGCTAAGCTGAGCGGGACTCGAACCCGCATGAACGCTGTGAAGTAGCGCTATCCTACCCTTGAATGATCAGCTCCCTGATTTTGGTTGTGTGGGCGTAGGTAGGTTATGCCAAGCTTTTAGCCAACACTATAGTCATGCGGATCTAGGAGTCGAACCCAGGACTGCTAATCATGAGTCAGCGATGATACCGTTTCACCAATCCGCGTATGTAGCTAGGCTGTATGTTCGATGCGTTACAGTCTCCTTATAGTGGATCTGTTCGTCTCTAGCTAAGGTAGCTAGATTCCTTATAACAATTTAAGCATGAGCAAACAGTCGGATCCAGTGTCGGTCACATTGGCCTTGATTATGGAAAGGCCTATAGACTACAACCTAGCTTGAAAGGGGGACAATAAAGCTAGTTAGCTGTGCGACAGTACTTAGGCTCCTCATCAGTAGATTGACACGTAAAGGAATAGTCAAACAACGTCAACGAAGTGTCAGTATAGGATTGATGCCTCGAATCCTAGGTGGTGGTGGTCTGTCAGGTGGTATGACAGGATCCGGAAGAAGGCTACGGCGATGAAGGCTGTACCAATCATAACGTGAATTCCGTGGAATCCTGTAGCGAAGAAGAATGTTGAACCGTATGCTCCGTCACTTAGAGTGAATGGTGCCTCGTAGTACTCGAATCCTTGCAGAGCTGTAAAGATCAGAGCAAGCACTACTGTTACGATAATTCCTAGTAGAGTACCTCGTCGGTTACCCTCGATCAGTGAGTGGTGAGCGTATGTAACACTAGCACCAGATGATAGTAGTAGGATTGTGTTCAGTAGCGGGATCTCGAATGGGTTCAGTGGGTCGATACCGGCAGGAGGTCAGTGTGTACCAAGCTCAACTGTAGGAGCTAGGGCTGAGTGGAAGTAGGCTCAGAAGATCGAGATGAAGAAGAAGATCTCACTTACGATGAACAGGGCTACACCCATGTTCAGTCCCTTCTGTACGGCGAAGGTGTGGTTTCCAAGCAGTGTACCTTCAGCAACTACGTCCCGGAATCATAGGATCATAGCGCTAACTGTTGATACAAAACCAAGAGCTAGTAGAGTTCCACCGTTGGCGAAACCGTTAAAGTACATAGCTGCAGCGATAGTTAGGATCAGCAGCGCGAATGAAGTAAGAAGTGGTCATGGAGACGGAGTTACCAGATGGAATGGGTGTGCCTGGAACTGTGATCGTGGAGTTAGTTGCATCTCAGATGAGTGCATAGTCAGACACTGCTAGTAAAATAGCAGTAGGTGGATCAGAGTGACATATAGCCGCTCAACATGCCCTGAGGCTATGCGCAATTGCGCCGGATAGAATAGGATTCGAACCTATGGTGCTCGCGCACGCCCACATTCAAAATGGGTACAATCGACCACTCTGTCATCTATCCTTAGTTGCTGTATTCATGCGATTCTAATCCGCAAGGGTCTTCTATAAGAGGCACTTATTCTAGCTGTTGACCGAATTGAACCCAAACCTGTACATTTGGGTACTAGTAAAACTAGTGCTATAGGCGAGCATGCTGGAATTGGTATACAGGTGGTTCTTAAGCAGCCATGGCGATATGCCATATGGGTTCGAAACCCATTGCTCGTAACTAACAAGAGGAGCTTGATAGGTAGACCCTCAAGCTATGCAGGGGCAGCACGAATCGAACATGCGTAAGCGAATTTGAAGTTCGCGATTCTAACCACTGAACTATACCCCTGTGATGCTTTAGGTAGCTATATGACTTAAGCCACGAAGTGCTAATAGCCTAGTAGCGAGTCTGTTGTAGCTCGCTTAGGGCCAAGAGGGAATCGAACCCTAAGGGAACAGATTTGCAGTCCGTTTACAGTACCGTACTGTAGCCTCAGCCCACAGAACTAGCTTATCTAAGCACATAGCGGAATCCCAAAGGGGGTACGAATGTGGTTAGACTAAACTGACCATTATTTCGCAGAAGGAGTAGCGTTAGCCGGAGTCATACATAGTACGATTGGTCCAACCATAGCTAGTAGGAAGATTACACCGGCAACCATTAGTCATAGTGCTGAGTATGTGTAAAGTCCTTGACCGATACTCTCGATCTGTGTGAACTCAAGCAGTGTACTGTCTGACAGTGCGGCACTGAATCCGCTGTGAACGTCAGAAGTCACACCACCAGCGCTAACAGCTCCTAGGGCTGCTCCGTTAAGTGCGTCGAAGAAGCTAATTGCACCGCTCAGTGATCCACCTTCGTGGTAGCTGGCAGGCATGATAGCTAGTAGCTCAAACAGGAACAGTGATCCTAGCATAGCACCTATAGGTAGGTTTTTAGTGTAGGCCTGACCAGTGTCAATCAGCTCAACTAGTCGTAGGTTCAGCATCATGATCACGAACAGGAAGAGGATAGCAATGGCACCGACGTATACGATTAGGTAAACTAGTCCAAGGTATGCTACACCGAGCAGTACCAGGTACCCAGCTACGTTAACGAATACAGCGATCAGGAATAGCACAGAGATCACAGGATTTTTAGCTGTGATGACCATGATTCCTGACAGCACGGCACCGATAGACAGTGCGTCTAGTAGGAATGCGTTCATTTCGTCTGGCGTGAAAGGACTATAGCCACATCGATCTACGAAGGAGTCGTGTTAGACCCATTCGCATAGATGGAAAGCTAGCCTCGTCCAATGGATGTGATCCACCAGTTGAGGCATTAGTCGTAGCCGTACTTGACATAGCAGCACGGAGGTTACCCACAATAGCAATGACTGAATCATCCTAGTGATGGATTGACAAATATAGGCCTAGCCGTAGGGTTGTTCTGTTAGTCTATGAGTCAGCTCGTATTGAGCAGGTGATACGGTCCATATGTATATCGATCCTTATAGCAGCTCGAGGTTGCCCAAGTGCTCTTCGGTATCAAAATATATAAGGAAGGTAGTTTCAATGGGCTAAGCATGTGTAGGCTAGTACTACGATTGAGTACAATGGAGCCTACACGAGGCCACATATCGTCCCCAATTGGAATCGAACCAATTGTCTAAGTATTAACAGTACTTCGCTGCACCGTTTAGCTTTGGGAACCACGTATCCTACGGATAGCCCATGCTTAGGTGGTCCACTATACCACGATGCTTCAAAAGGGGGTTCAAGTGGTATATTGTTCAACAGCAGCTTCCGCTACCATTCCTATATTTCGACTTCATCTCAATCGCTGCACCGCCACTCGAACAAGCTCCAGATGTAAGACTAGTGCCAACTGTGTTGACCAGAGGAACCGTTGCCGGTCACTTTGTTCTGTTAGCCCAACATCCTTTACTCATGCTTCATAACGACATCGCTTTCAAGATGTGACGAGTAATTAGTACATCCCGAGTGGTATGTTCACCGTGCCGCACTACTGCACGATTACTCGCAATTCCTATTTCATGTAGCCGATTGCAGGCTACAATCCGTGTGGCTCCATTTGGGGAGTAGCTCAGTCTCACGACGTTGCATCCCATTGTGGAAGCCTCGGCAGCACAACGGCGGCCCTGTGCATAAGGGTCATGGGGACCTCTCTTAGCCCTACTACACAGCTATATCAGCTGCAGACTGCCAAGAAGATTGGCAGTAAGGATTTCGCATGTTAGCGGATCAAACCAAGCACCATAAGGCACATGCTGAAGAGGGTCATGTAGCACCTGTCACCGGCTGAGACACGTAAATGCCCAGCTGGGATTCAAGCACAGGTAAGGTTATGCGCGGGTCATCGCATTAAGCGTCATGCTTCACTGCGGGTCCTCGGGACCGTCTAATCATTTGGTGTTCTGCCCTGTGGCTGTACTCCCCAGGCGGAGTGCTTATCGCGTTAGCTAAGTGTCTGAGCATTTGCCCAATCACTAGCACTCATCGTTTACAGCGTAGACTACACGGGTATCTAATCCGTTTTGCTCCCTACGCTTTCGTCTCTCAGCGTCAGCACACAACTAGTCACTTGCCTTCGCCATTGGTTCTCCTCCAAGGCTCAAAGCATATCAGCGCTCCTCTTGGAATAGAAGTGACTCCTATGTGGCTCTATCTCCTCGTAACTAGAGTACGAAGAGCCGCCTACAGACCCTTTACGCCGATTCACAACGAGTAATGCTTGCCCTATCGGTCTAACCGAAACTTCTGGCACCGAAATTAGTTAGGACTGGTAGTCAAACGAATCATAATTTAGTCTGACTATACCTCGCGGACCTTCGCCCAACAAGGTTCTAGCTCTCCTGATCACGCTTGCGCGCATTGTCAAGGATCCCGTACTGCTGCGCCCCAAAGAGGAACGGTGGCTATATTTCAGAGTCCACTGGTGACTTCAGGCCTTTCAGCCAAGTCTACACGTCATTGCCTTGGTAAGCTGTTACCTTACCAACTAGCTGCTGTGGTGCAAGTGCATCTGAAGGCGAGTACGACTCTTTCTGTATCATGGATTACCATGTCCTTCAGGTAGCGCCCTGCGATACTACCCTGTACGCCATGGCTCGGCGATCGTTGATCAGAGCCATTGACTTGCATGTATGAAGAGGCTAGATAGCATTCACTCGGGGCCATGATTAAGCCCTTAGTTATAGTTAGTAGCCTACTGGAGGCTACGTATCGTATCAGCACCTCGATAAACGATAGTCGTCAGTCGAGTACGCGATGTACATGTTACTTATAGCGTGAGACAGCTCTGACCGTTGAGATGGGTACACTGTCACTTATAATATAGAGTCGAGACCGATCCTCAACGGATCCTATAAGGAAGTCCGTGTATGATCCTAGCCTTGAGGGCGTCCTGGTCACTATAAGTATCGATAGCAATGTGGAACGTATCATCAAGTGACTAAAGGGACTCTAGGGGATGCCTAGCGAATGTGCCCGAACAGGAGTGGGAACACTGAATGCTTCCTAGTCAGACATCACCAAGTGATGTCCCAAGGGGAGCGACCTGAAGGAAAACCATGATCAGAGTACGGGCCGAACCGAAACATCGTAGTAGGCCTAGGAAAGGAAATCAACCGAGACACTGTCAGTAGCGGCGAGCGAACGCAGTACAGCCAAGTTGCATAGTACAGATGATCTAAGGCTCTGGAAAGGGCCAATTGCACACCATCAGCGCTCTGGTGGCCTCAAAAGGGCCGCATCGTGATGCGAGTATGGACCGTGCAAGCCATAGAAGGTGATAGCCCTGTGGATTTGACGTCTATG